GGAAACTCCGAAGGAGATTTACGTATCTAAAGAGTCCCATGCTTTAAAATCGATATATCCAGTAATTAATAAGTTTGGTCAAGTAGAGAGCTTGTTGGATGGTGGCTCACAAATTGTATCAATGGATGCGGAGGTTGCTAAGAAATTAGCAGTCCCTTGGGATCCTGATATAACCATTCAAATGCAAAGTGCGAATAGAACTGTGGAAAAGACCCTTGGTCTCGCCAAAAATGTTCCATTTAACTTCGGAGGAATTACGATTTACCTGCAAGTGCATGTAATACGGGACCCAGCCTATAAAGTACTATTGGGCAGGCCCTTTGACGTGTTAACAGGGAGCGTGGTCGTAAACTCTACGGACGGAGGACAGACGGTAACCATAACAGATCCAAACTCTGGCAGAAGAGCAATGTTACCCACTTTTGACAGAGGAAAACCACCAGTAATGATGAAAATGCACACTGAAGAGGATCTTCAACCGAAAACTGAGAAAGTTTTTCAACCCTCGATGATTTGATTGAAAAAGATCAAGGAGAAGTTGCGATAGCTTTTGAAGAAGACGGTGCGGGAGGATATAAAGTCCTATCGTACGCCTTACCAATGGACGATCAATTCTCTGAAGAAGAGACTAGGAATTTGTATCTTACAAAATACTTAAAACATGAAAAAGAAAAGATGACAGACAAGGCGGCTAGTACGGTTCTGGTAAACTACTTAGAAAAATATTATTCTAAGCAAAGTCAAGAATCGGGCACCGCGTCTACAGTGGAAACCATGATGAATACGATATATAACCATGATGGTAAAGCGCAACCGAGCGAAGTGGAGGGTGAACATCCTGCGACAAGGGAGGTACTGGTAACTAAAAAGTATAAACCAGTCGCACAGAAAATCCGACCCGTCTTTCAGGACCTACCAGATAAATTTCGAATTATTCGGGATATAAAAGGGGGGATCCTAGATGGACACCTTGCCAAAGCTGAATAGAAACCCACCAAAATTCACACCCACGGGACGCTATACTGAAGAGCGAAGAGAGCAATTTGACAAAGTTCATGACGGCGATTTCTTGTGGCCAGAGGA